CCTTACCATGTAAGGAGCATAGTTCTGTGACTAAAATAGAGCCTGAGATAACTCTTAGCCCCACCACTTGTCACTGAGCAACTGCGGCTCCACCAGGCCCATTGATATCTCCACCACATTCCTCCAGCATTCACGGAGACACACTTGTTCAGAGTGACAGCTTCACTTGAAATACAGTACTTCACAAGTTCCTTCATGAAGCCAGACAGGGTTTCTACCCCCACCACATTGTCTCCCCAAAAGAAAGAAAAAACAGACAGTAGACTAGTAACACTGAAGGAAGAACTACATTAAAGTGCTGAGGTTGTTGCTCAATGGTTAGCGCTTTCCTAGCAGGTGTGAGACACTGGGTTTGAGCCTTAGCACCACATAAAAATAGAATAAAGGTATTTTTAAAAGCCATACAAGAGAACTTTATACATAAAAAAAAACCCTACATTAAGATGGGAACTTCTTACCAAGAATTTTAGGCCTTCATCTATAAAGTTCCCATGACAACCATTTGGAGAACTCCCAGGGGCACAGAATAGAATGTACCTAGAAAAGGGCCTCTAGGTACAGGCCGGGGTTCTGCCCTGTCCCTGCCAGCTCATGCCGTTGTGTAGAACTCAGCGGAACAAATATATTTGGGGGTTGTGGTTCTTAGGTCTCCCAAAGTAATACTCTTTCCTACTGTATTGAGCAGTCTCTCTACATTAGGAGGATAATTATGTCATAATTTGAGGCATTTCTTAATGAGGCCCTTGGCCTTGGGGCTTTTCTGGGTTATCTCCTGAATCAACCCTATGAGGGATGTGGCCAGGTGGGCTTGTTCTGACGGGAGCCCACTGTGCAGTGGAAGCCACATGGCAAGTCGAGCAGATGTTGAACTCACTGTGCTCTGTGAGTAGGCAGCCTGCTTCCCAGGAGCTGCTCSGTCTACCTTGGTTGCCAATATTTCAGGTTGTCACAAAGCCTTTTGGATAAAGAATAGAGCTAATATCTAGTTCCATTCATTTTTAATTTTCCCCTCTGAAGGGAGCTGCTCAGACCTGCTATTACAATTAACCAGGACCTTGATAGTCTTCTGGCACCACTTAAAACAAGTCCCAGTGGTAAGGGGATGGTTTGTTTGCATTGTCAGTAAAAGTATGTGCTTTCTGAGCTGACTCTGAAGGCGACTGAGGCTTTGCCTACAAGCCCCAGGCRCATGCTCTTACCCCAAAACCCGATTGTCACAACACTGTGGAGAGTATTATCATGCCCACCGTAAGGCTGAGGAACTGGAGGGTTGGAAAACTGAAGTAACTTGCCCCACCTCCCATAATTAAGTGATGGAACAAAAATGAATACTCTTAAATCTGTTCTTTTGAAAAAGCATATTATCTTGCATTAAAAACATGGTCTCAAAATTCTGGCATACTTATTAAAATTATATATATATATATATACATACATATATATATCCTATTTTGTATTTGTACCTGCATGGACAATGTTTCAGAGATGAGGAAAAACAGTTGGGGGTAAAATCACGTTTTTTACCAGAGATATGGAAAATTGTGCTGTATATGTATAATAAGAATTGTAATGCATTCCACTGTCATTTATTTTTTAAAAAGTCAATAAAAAATCACTGTTTTGAAAATATAATGGATCAGTTCTTACAAAATTACTGGAGGATTTACAAAAATTGTCATTTTCAGATATAGGGAACAATATTAATTGTTTACAATTCATCTTGTGGCAATTTCCCCTAGACAGGTATTCATATGAAACAGTATTATTTGCAAGGTTTGCCTGTTTGTCATGGGAGGGCTACTATTAATACCCTGCTCCTTGAGCTATCCAGTGACATAGGATAAGTGCCCTTCGTAAATATGACAAGAGAGAGGTTATGTTTTCTAGGGATGAGGAATGAAAGTGAAGCATGCTTTCCCAGAAGTAGAGAGTTCCTCCCAAGGAGAACTTCACTATTGTGTGCAATCCCCTTCCCAGTTCCAGCCCAATTCAGAATATCTGCAGGCCTGGAAAAGCAAGTAAAGTCCAGAGCATAGGCTCATCCAAAACATCTCAGAAAMCCTTGGTCAACCTGCCATCCAAAACTCAGGCAACATCTTAGACTACCCTCATCTGGAAGGGCTAAGTCTCAGGGGTCCTTTGCTCCACCATAGCACACAGCAGAGGGAAATGCCATTCCCTATTCAAGACAGCCCATGCTGCCCCTTGACAACTATAGCCACCCTCACATTTGTTCCTATCATCAATGTAAATATATGTCAACAGCATGCGTTTTTGTTTGTTTGTTTGTTTGTTTTTAAGAATAACAAGGAATCCAGATGTGATTGACCCTAAGCTCAGCAATGCTCCAGTGCAGATCCCTGGCCAGGAGCCTCTCTAGGCAAGACATTACATGATCGGGGACAAAATTAGACATGTGCAAGGAACAGGCACCACTACCAGAGGGCAGGTGTCAGTGTCCCAGTGGAGAGATGAAGTAATTATGGAAGGACAGTGCCCACTCCAGGGGCTACTCCATTTCCTATCCCTAAGGAGTCCTTCACCAATCAGAAAAGAGAATTCTTTAACAACAACTCCCCACCCCCAGGAACCACCAATAGCTTCTCAAAAAAATGTTTCCAGGCAGGTGGTGAGCAAAGCCAGGAAGAGAAACAACAGTCCCAGGCAGAACAGGAGACAGGGGAGCTCTGTTTTCACATCCCTGTCGCAGAAGTCACCTGCTGAGCAAAGTGGAACCATTTCACTCAGAGCCCAAAGACCTGGTTTGCTCCACCTTGTCCTCCTTTGCAAGCTGGTGAGAGGCAGAACCTCTGAGGTTTTGCTCACGGATGCAGGTTTGGCTCTACTGGAGACCATAGGTGGTGCATGAGGTGACTACTTGTGATGGTGTTCCTGTCTTCAGGGGCCCTTCAAACAGGACTGGAACCCGGAAGTCAGAGACCTCCACTGTGCTCTGAGGCAATCCCTGCATCTCCAGATGAGCCACCTACACTGATCTGAAAGAACCATGCTGATACACACCATATCCATTCATTTGTTTTTTATTTTACTGATTATACAATATGTCAGACTTATTTTATAAAAATGTGAGATAGACAAATATGTAAAGAAGGCATTGAAAATCACCTTCAGTTCCATTATTTAAAGGTCTTAGCCTTTCTGGTGTTTTTCCTCCCATGGTTGTACAGAAGGTTCAATATAAATATACACATTCTGTGTTGTTATATAGGAATGCATACATCCTATACTATTTATTATATATGTATATATAATACATTTATATATTATGCATATAGATACATCCTATGATATTTGTGTGTGTGTGTGTGTGTGTGTGTGTGTATATATATATATATATATATATATATATATATAAAATAAGCATTTTCTATGCTTTTTCCCTATTTCCTTAAGATAAAATCCCAAAAATAAACAGATAAAAAGGGATGGTCAAAACAGACTTGCAGGGAGCAATTACACACCCTCCTTTAGTAAGCTGTGAAAATAAAAGTGTGACAGGTAATGAATGTCATTACCAGTAAGAATGAGGTAATGATCCCGACCTTTGCTTCTGGAAAGTTCTCCCTAATATCTGCCCTAACGCCCTTCTGCTGACTTAACTTGAAACCTGTTCCTTCTTGTCTTGTTCTCAGCATAATTAGAAACAGCTGCTTTCCACTTCAATTCTGACCAGTCACTGTGAAGAAACCCTGTTGTCAAATCTCTTGCCACCCTTTTGATGCTGGCTTAAAGGAGCCGAATTGAGTTGTTTGCATTTGCTCAAGGCTCCAATGTGACCCACAGGGTTTTTCCTCCTGTATGTATTCTGCAGTTTCAGACAGAAAGCCAGTTCCACCTCACAGACATCTCTGAAAAAGGCCCAGGGATCTGCAGATTATTTCACTTAGAAGCAACAGCCTCTTACTTAAACACTCCAGACTCAATGTGGTCTGTCCTAATCCATGGCTACTGATTAAACTGTATTTGACCTTTACTATAAATAAGTGCAAAGGAAAAAGTGGATATTGCCCATTTCTGACTCTTTTTTKAATTCTTCGCCAAGAACAAAACATTTCTTCTATAAATGAACCCTGGATTTATCATGGGTCTTTTTAAGGATGTGAGTGTGGAGAAGAAAGGAGATTTAATGATGTGTAGATCTAAAATGAGACAATTGTAGCTAATATCTTGAAGCCGTCATCTAGGAAATGGCCCTTAGCTCTTAATAGAACGGGTCTTTCTAATGATAAAATAATAATGAGTTTCCACAGGTCATTCATTACATACCAGGTACTGTGCTAAGCATTCTGCTTTTTAAATTCCTCTCAGCAACTTTATAAAGTGAGTACCATTCATTTGTTTTTTTTTTTATTTTACTGGTTATAAAATATTTCAGACTTTATAAAAATGTGAGATAGAGGAATACGTAAAGAAGACCCCCCCAGATCTATTATATATATATATAATATATATATAATGTAAAGGTCTAATATATATTTAGATATATAATATACATGCTCATAGAAATATGAATGGATCTTGAGAACATAATTCTTAGGTTAAAAAAAGAAGCAGAAAGAAAAATGCAACATGCCATTCATAAAATTAACAGACATACATGTAAAACAATAGGCATTTTACTAGTATGACTTAAGACTGTCAGGATTTACCCCAAGAAGTTTTGCAGGAGTAGCAGTAACATTCATTTCCCATGAACTGGAAATGGATTTTTCTCCTTGCTTAATCTTTCAAAAGGAGTTGACCAAGGAAGAGCAACACATACAACCACCACCTGAGTAATTGTGGTAAAATCTGCCTCTTTCACTCACTTGGCAGTTTCTCTAAAGTGCCAGGAAGTGAGCATTTCAGAGACATATCAGGAAGGAAGCCATTCTGTCAGGAAAGAACTAAGGGCAGGACGGGGATTTCTACTGGGGCACTGAGGAAGCTACAAACCCCAGGAGTTGTGGGCCCACCTCCCTGGGAGTCACCCGACTTACCTCAATGGTTTTACAGGTGTCCTCCAGCTGGCTGATCACCCCTTGGATTCGGTCATTGCTCCCCACAAGAACAGCGATGCCATCACTGAGCTCTGACTGATGAAGAGAAAAGAGGGACTCGAGATCTTGGGGGCCAGGTTTCCTCGTCACTAGAGAGGGTGGATTAAGTCACAGTCTTGTTCTTATGGAATTCCTAATGGTGGGTCCATGCACTTTCCAAAGGAATAACAGTGAGATTTGGGAAACCTGTGAACCTCCTGATCTTGCAAGCCCACCTTCAGATAGGGATGCGTTTGTGTGGGAAGGGATTTCATAGTTTTCCTCACATTCTCACTGGAGACTGTGACTCTGTGGAAAACAGGAAGACCACTGAAATTATAGCGATGGAGAATAACATATTCAAGTTGAGGAACTCTAAACATTTTACCCTCTTCCCGTTTCTGACTATGGAGCTGCAGGGAGCAGTGAATGGTGACATAGGAAATCTACATGTGTGGTCCAACTCTGTAAATAAGTTGGGCAAAACACGTACTCAATTTGGACCCTAATTTCCTCTTACTTAAAATGGGAGATCTGGATCAAAACAGTAGTTGTAAAACATCTGAWAGCTGAAGAATCGTATCTTCAAATGGAAGCTAATACACAATCCTATCAGGTAAAAGTGAAGCAGCTTTGATCAAACAGCAGCCAAGACAGAGTCCCAGCTTCTGTCCCTATCCCCTTCCCACGAGTCACCAGGGCTTTAAGGAAAATAATGTTAAGATGGGGGTACAGGGCAGGGGGAAAGGAGGAGAAGGGGGAATAAGTCAAAAGCAAATTGAAAAATAAATTTGCAAAATAAATGTGCAGAGTCCTCTTTCTTTAGCAGCTAGTGGTTATTGGTGGTAGTTGGTGTTGCCTGACAGTACAACTTCAGATTTGATTTCAGCCCTGATCTTCACAGTTCAACACTGACCAACGAGGAGTTGATGTTTCTAATTGAAAGACACCGAGAGGTGGAGCTGCTYGAATTCTCAGTTCAAGAGTGTCTGCAAGTCTCAGTGCCCCAACCCCACTTTTATCTGCACCCAAGGGATAAGTTCTCACAAGTTCCTGCATGAAAGCAGGCCGGCAGGTTAGTGATGAGCTGATGTGGAGACTTTATTTGGTTAGAACGAGGGGCCTGAGGTGGAGGCCGGGGTGGGTGTGGCAGGAAGACACACCATCCTTGGGATGGCTTTTAGAAGCTGGGCAATCTGAAGCCCAACAGGAGGCAAAGTTTTAAAGCTGTTCAGTAACTTCATGTCACCATGACAACTCTCTCCCACAAGGAGTGGGATCTAGAGAGGGCAAAAGAACTTTCCTTGGTAAATGAAGAAAAGTATTCTGTGACTGGAGGCGGGGAAAGCCACCCTTATCTTATGGAGTTCCTAATGGCGGGTCCATGCAATTCTTATTTTATTCTTATTCTTATCTGTAATCTAAACTTCCAATAATTGTAAGCAGGTTGAGCTTGGGCCTGGCCCCTTAACATGCTTGTCTTCAGCAACCTCCAAAAGGCACACAATCTGGGGTTCTGTCCTTCTGCATCTGTTCCTGAACCTCAGTATCCTTGTTCTCCCTGGTCTTCCCTACCACCCTGCAGGGAATCTGACATGAGGCTCTGTGTGCACCAACTGTCCCATATCTCCCCCTGAGGGGCCCCTCTGCACATGCCCTCCAGGCCCCTGTGGCCCTGCGTGGCTTGGGTTGACTCCTTCCCCAGAGCGGAGCTGACCACACCAACACTTGAAAAGAACTGAGGAGAAAGAGCTGGAGTGGCTTCTTTACCTTCTGCCTCTGGAACACATGAGTGAGGGGTGCCACCTGGCAATCTTTGTGTGCACCAAACACCTTGCAGAGGGAGCAGGTGGGCACTTCACAGTTCAGACAGTAGATGTTGATGCGCTCCTCTTCATGTTCTTCGCACATGGGCTGGTCAGACTTCTTTTCTGGCCTGGGAGGAAGTAGGCGGATGAATGTTCATCAATTTTTATTGGAACAGAGCAGAGACAGGTCCCTGAACCCGCAGCCACCAGAAGACTGCTGGGGTTTCTTTCATGTACCCCAAATGCCTGGAGTTCAGTTTCCCTGTAAGTTAGTGGTGGGTGCTGACAAGTCTCTTAACAACCAGTTTGGCGGGGGGATTGGGGCCTGGAGACACTGATTTGTAACATTTATCCATTTTCATAGTGTATTTCCATCATGGCTGATTTCAATTCAAGCTTTAAAACTGTCTAGTGAAATTCCTGAAAGTTGAATGCTGGGCCCTTGCCAGCCATCAGCAATGTGCTCCAGCTCTGTGCCCATGAGCTCACAAGTTTCTCATGAGACACTTTCCTATTATGGGTAAGAAGGGGAAATTGCTGATAAGCTAAATATCAAGTTTATGTCAGCAGAAGAGCTCACTCCCAGCCCTTCAGCCTCTGGTCTTGGCAAACACCTTTCCCACCTATAAAACTGAAGACGGCTAGGGAGAGCCAAAGTTTTCTTTTATTATTAATCTAGGTGCTGGTTGGAAGTTAGAAGTACATAAGAGGGAAGTGTGGATGTGGCTTCTTTATACAAAATACAGGAGTTCTGATGTATTCTATCTAAAGACTAAGACTGTTAATAGTTTTCATAAGTATTTAGAGAAAATGAAAATTATTAACTCTAAATCCAAGAGCATACTTAATAATCCTAACCACATAGATATTTAGAAGCATTTCATATTTGGGACTCATTCTTCTCAGTTGCTATTGAGTCTCATTCCTTAAAAATTATAGGTTTTAAGGGGCATGAAATCAGTTTAGGGGGTTGTGACTAGCATTGCTAAAGTTAAAATAAAATTGAATAGCAAATACTGTGCATTATATGAAGTAAGAATAAGTACTGATATGTAAAATTTTGTTTTAGGCATACACACACACACAAACACACACAAACACAAAATATGAGATTATATATACATACGTATCCATATATGTAATTGGTCAATATTAACAATGAAAAGCATACGTCTAACTGTGAATCATAAATAAAAATGTTTGAACACAATTAATGCTGATATGTGATATATTTAACTAGTGTTAGAACTCAGAAGAAGATGGAGAACATGCCAATATACCTCTATAAGTCACTAGGCAAAAGTCCAGTATTTGGATTGGGGCAACTAAATGTTAGGAAGTCTCCAGGTCTGGTAGGGAAACTGCATGGACTTCCAGCTTTAAGCTCTTGGAATCTGATGTTTGCAAGAAGAATTTCAATCTGGTCTTAGAGCAGCTTAGCAGCTAGTGGTTATTGGTTGTAACTGGTGTTGCCTGAGTAATCTATGACTTCCTGACTTGGCCATATGCTTGGGAATTAAGCAAGAAAAGTAATCCCATAACTGGGAAGATTACTCTCCCTCCAAGGCTATTTCTTCCACTAGAACGTGAGCTCCTTGAGGGCAGGGGCTATGGTGTGTCTTCTTTATTGCTGGATTCCCCAATACCCAGAACAGTAACTTGCATACAGGAAAGGGCTCCTTAAATATTTATTGAATGAATAAGAAGATAAAAGGTAATTTGCCTGACTGGTGGACAGTGTACTCTGAGCTTTACATATCACCACACAGCTCTAGAGGGGATGGGAAATATGGGCTCCCATTTGGCAAAGGGAAAGACCAGACAACATCCTGAGGACTCCATTCATAAATGACCATGCCCTCTGGTTGTTATCTACAGATAAGGACTGACAAACTGGTCTCTGTCTGATCAAAGGCATCTCTTTCTCCAAAACCTTCCCTCCCATGTATCTCTATCTTGTAATAAATGTGAACTAATCAAGAGTCTCGTGTACGTCTACTAGAAAACAGCACAGGAAGAGCTACTGCATTCACCTCCCCCAAGCATTTCCTGAGGGCAGCCTGTGTCCCAGGTGCTGTTCTGTTGTCACCAGAGACAGTGTTATAGGCACAGGTATATGTAGGATAGGAGGTACTGAAAATGTGGAAACAGTCATCAGGATATGTGCTTATTTTTGTTTGTGATTCAATTTCTTCTTTTTCATGATGCAACAATATACTGAGAACTGCTTCCCATATTCCTTATTAGGTTTTTCTTGTTTAGGTGGCAACACAGGACCAAGGGTATCACTGGCTTAAAAATGAGCATACAATGAAAACCTCTGAATAACTTACAAGAAATTACAAATTTGGGACAGATATGGCATGCAGAATAAAGATGTGAATGCATTTTTATGAGGTGAGTGTCCAGGCTCATAGTCATGGTTCAGAGGTCAGTGTCAAATGTTGGCAGAGACTCCCAGCCATGCTGTGTAGGCTAGATGCAATGAACCTGTACCTGCTCTTGCCTATCTTGGAGGCTGTGGGGACCACACCAGCATTTACTGAAAGGTAGGTGTCTGGTCTTGGTGAAGTGATTCAGGCAGTATGATTGTACTGATATTAAAGCTTAATCCTACCTCGGCTTCTTCATGTGGCCTTAAGTGAGTTACTCAATCTATTCTGGTCTCAGTTTTTACTTATGTCTAGAAATTGAACCAAGAGTCTTCTAATTAAATATGGCAAAATGAACACAGGCATGTATTTATGTTTCCTGATGAAATCCCCCTAAAATGAGATAAGGAAATAAAAAGGTATAAATCAATAAAGAACTAAAAGTAAGCAAGATAACAGCAAATGAGAGATGTCACCAAATGTTGGAAATTGGGAACAGTGACTTACTTGAGTTACATCTTAGCTCTAAGTGCCTACAGGGGAGAATTCTACAAGAAGCCAGCTGACTTGAACTGTGGAGTTCTGGAAAGATTCTGAAACTGCAGCCAGAAGCTGCAGTTAAACCTCTACAAGGTATCCTGAAGACAGGCATTTAAGGGAAGCTAAAAATAAGAGGACTGTGTATATTTTAAGAGATTGCTTAAGGATGTGCTCCACAAAAACAAAAGAGTAAACTAACAAAGAGGAAGACATGGATTCAAGAAGCAAGGGGCTTTGAGTTGAGTTTTGTGCGTGGTGAGAGATGGGGATTTATTTTCATTTTGCTACATATGGATTTCCAGTTCCCCCAGCACCATTTGTAGAAGAGGCTACCTTTTCTCCAATGTATGTTTTTGGCGCCTTTGTCTATTATGAGATAACTGTATTTATGTGGGTTTGTTTGTGTCCTCCATTCTGTACCATTCATCTACATGTCTATTTTGGTGCCAATACCATGCTGTTTTTGTTACTATGGCTTTATAGTATAGTTTAAGGTCTGGTATTCTGATGCCTCCTGCTTCACTCTTCTTGCTAAGAATCGCTTTGACTATTCTGGTCTCTGCACCTAATAGAGGAAAAAGTAGGCCCAAATCTTCATCATTTTGGATTAGGCCCCAACTTCCTTAACAAGACTCCTAAAGCACAAGAAATAAAATCAAGAATTAATAAATGGAATGGACCCAAACTAAAAAGCTTCTTTTCAGCAAAAGAAACAACCAATGAGGTGAATAGAGGGCCTATATTTGGGAAGCAAATTTTTGCCACATGCACATCAGATAGAGCCCTAATATCCAGGATATATAAATAACTCAAAAAACTTAACACCAAAAAACCAAACAATCCAATCATAAATGGGTTATGCAGCTGAACAGACATTTCCAGAAGATATACATTTGATCAACAAATATATGAAAAAATGTTTGACATTTCTAGTAATTAGAGAAATGCAAATCAAAACTACTCTAAGACTTTATCTCAYGCCAGTCAGAATGGCAGTTTTCAAGAATATAGGCAATAATAAATGTTGGCAAAGATGTGGAGGAAAAGGCACAATCATTCATTGCTAGGATGGGACTGCAAATTGGTGCAACCACTCTGGAAAGCAGTATGAAGATTCCTTAGAAAACTTGGAATGGAACCACCATTTGACCCAACTCTCACTCCTCGATCTATACCCAAAGGACTTAAAATCAGCATACTATAGTAATGCAACCACATCRATGTTTATAGCAGCTCAATTCACAATAGATAAACTGTGGAAGCAAACTAAATGCCCTTTAAGAGATGAATGGATAAAGAAAATGTGGTATATATACACAATGGAATATCACCCAGCCTTAAGAAGAATGAAATTATGGCATTTGCAGGTAAATGGATGGAGCTGGAGAATATCATGCTAAGCAAAATAAGCCAATTCCAAAGAGCCAAAGGCTGGATGTTTTCTCTGATATGCAGATGCTAATTCACTGTAAGTGAGTGGGCCTAGGGAAGAATAGAAGTACTTTGGATTAGACAGAGGGGAGTGAAGGGATGGGGGTGGGGGGAATATGGGGGTGAGAAGACAGTGAACTGAATCAGACATTACTAAGCTATGTGCATATAAGACTGCACAACTGGTATAATTCTATATCATGTACAACCAGGAGAATGAGAGATTATACTCTATTTATGTATGATGTGTCAAAATGCATGCTACTGTCATGTATAACTAATTAGAACAAATAAAAAAAATTATCAAACTTTAAAATAAATCAATAAATAATAAAGACTTTTAATAGGGCAATAATAGTAATCRTTATCATCAGCAGCAGAAGTATCACCTCAGAGGATTGTGTAAGAATTAAAGAATCGCACAAGATTGACACATAAAGCACCCCGAACAGAGCACATAGTAATTTTGCTTATTATACTTTAAAGTTCATTACTGTTTATTCTTAATATTAACCAAATTAATTTCTTCTTCTGCCAAACCCCCAAACTGAGACTAGTTTAGCACCATGCCCTGTTCTAGATAAGGCCAGGATTTGTGGAGAATCACAGTCTCTAGGTGTTCTGTAAGAGGCCAGAGTGGCCCAGTACCCATGGTCCATTGTTGATACCTCCTCCCCTTTCCTTTGACGTCCCCAGTGGGCCACAGCCGGGCTCATTTCACTCTTCTTATCCAAGGTTATTCCAGGGTTGTCTAATGTACCCTGATGTTCAAAGTTCTGATCTGTCAAGACTTCCAGCCTCCACAGAACAACTGACACCATGTCCAGACCTGTGGCCAAGCCTTCTGGGCCATTTGTGGTTTGGCCACCAAGTTAAAATGCCCTAAAGGCAAGTCTCATGTTTAAGAAACAACATAGGAAAAATTTGATAATCAAAAAAAGCAAACTTATTCTTGATTATGAGCTTATTTTTTTAGAAATTTGGTTCATTCCTTTCATGCAATTTGCTTCCCAGTTCCTCGGCACTATTTTTGGTAGCGGCAACAACCCGAATTCATGGCTCAAGTAAGCAAGTGTTTCTGTGGTTTTTCTAATGCCATAAGTTTTAACATCTCCTCTCCTCTGGATTTCATAACAAGTATTGATTTTTTCATGTTTCAAGTTCCCACTGTGGCAACCCGTGAGAAAATTAATATAGTTAATGTAATAATATTAATGTCATTATTAATGTAAGCTTAGAGAGCAACTATCTGGTGTAAGGCGAGAATTTCATGCTAAGCAAAATAAGCCAATTCCTGTACTAGGCACTAAAATAGCTATCATAGAAATTCGTTTTAATAATTGGTTGATTATTAATTGATTCATTTTTTAAAAGACAATTTGTGCATTTGTACTTTAAGTAACAAAATTCAGTGAGATCAGATCTCTGATGTGATAACAACAATAGTACTTTCTTTCTTGTCAGGAGATTTTGGAAGCAAGAGAAATAGGTGGCTGCAATCTCTGCAATAAGTCATCAACCATTCTTCTTCCCCAATCCCATCTATATCCTGGTACTATCTAATTAAGTTTTGTATCTCAAGCAGAAACTAATAGCCATAATAATTACAATAATTATAGGTTAGATTTGTAGAACAGCTTTCCTTCTAAAGCACAAGGCTCTTAAAACCTAACAGATGTTCTATAAATACATGACCCTGAATAAGAATCTGAATGAGGCCATTTCTAGAGGGTCTCCATATTGCTACCGAGCTTTGTGGACTGGACTGAGCTGTGCACAATAGTGAAAAGGCTCTTCACTCTGTGCCTTCTAGGAATATATTTTTGCAGTGTTGTCTCTAGGAAAGAAACTGCATGGCCAATGTGGTTCCATAAATAAGAAACCTTTAATATTTTTTTAAAGGGATGGATGTATATAACAATCAATCAAGTAAATGCTAAAAGTATACAGCAAATGTAATATACAGCCTGGACTTAATTTTTTCCCCCTCCCATGTCTCTAAACTGTAAGTCTGTAAAGGCCAGGATTGATATCTGCCTTTGAATTTCTCATAGATTCAAACTGGTGACAATGTCAGAGGATTTTGTTTTTCTTATTATTAGCTAGATAATTTTAAGGGCAAGAATGTCTGAACTAGAAACTGGGCTATTTTGGAAGATACCATTTCTGTTAACTTTATATTTGCACTGGAATTTTTCTGCTATGTAGGGTCTGGAAATACAAAGGATCTGTAATGTGCAAAAAATGTCTAAAATGTATGTACTACAAGGCTTTCAGGGGAGGGCCACCGCATGCCTCTTTCAGTATCACCATCTGGGATGGATTAGTGCTAATGAGTCACTTCATTCTTACATGATACCAAAGCTGAACACCAGTTCCTTTCTCTCTTCCCATGAGCGACTCTCAGTCCCATTGGGAAGGATTGACTTGGAAAATCCGTTTACTATAAAACAGTCAGTCTCTGGTAGACAATCATTCAGGGTGGCAACCCTTTGAAAACACACAAACAAATACAAACAAGCATCAAAAGGATTTGGCACATGGAAGAGTGTTACCTGGTGGACTCCTGCTTGTAGATGTCGATGATGTTTTCTACCAGCAGGTTCCTCTGAAGTCCATAGACCCCGTGTCTGTCCAGAACCACTTCGTGTCTACAGGAGGGGCATCGGAATCGGCCCCCTGATGCCACCGTGGTACCTCCTCTTGTCGGCAAATACGGGTTAGAGGCCTATTCTTGCCAAGCAAGGAAAGAGGAATTGAGTCACATCACAGGGAGCTTTCCTGAGACTTATTTTCACTCTCTGTGATTACAAACAACATGGATTTCTACTTTAAGCTTGGCATAAGATAATCCCTCAGGGCTTTAGTGCCAGTGGTCCTGGAGCAGAGAGCCAGTCCTTATCCACAGGCACCTGCAATGTATCAGTCAGCATGAGGCATTTTTCCACCCAATGTTTTCATAACCAAAAGTTTCAGCCAGAAACACCAACATTCGTGTCTTGGGTAGTAATTCATTTTTGACTTTGAAACAAATTCAATGATTTGGTTTTGTTAAAAACAAATGTGATTCTTAGAATGGAAATACAACTAGATTTGTATTTTAAATTGAAAATAAATGCTGTTTATATGAAGTTTTCTAAAGGAGTCGACTTCGATATGAAGCACTTGATTTGGAGAGGAGGGGATCTTTTGCACCCCCAAATCCCAAACAAGCCTACCTGGAAAATGTCGCTGGCACACTTCCGGCACAGGTTGTGCTGACAGGGGAGAATGACCACGGGCTTCGTGAACATCTCCAGGCAGATGGGACAGATAAGTTGCTTCTCCAAGTTATCCATGGTCTGTTGCTCTTTGGAAAAAGACTTGTAATTCAGAGATGCACTCATCTCCTGGCCGTCCCTGAGTGCCCTGCCAGGGAAAGGGTGCTCCGAATGGCCTCGGCAAGTGTTTCCTGGAAATAATTCCAAGGACTGTATGATCAAGTGTCCTTTATGTTTCTCTTGGTGGAGGACATTGTTTCAGGCCCTCGTTCAGAGTGGAGCCCGAGCTGTTTTTAGCAGCCCAACGTCACGTGACACAGTGGGCCGACTTGTCCATATAAGCCAGTGACAGGAGGATGGATTCTGACAGGTGACAGAGAGCAGGAGTCAACATTCTTGCCCCTGGGAGTGAAGAGAGTGGGTGGGAAGGAGGATTACAAATCCCATTTAGACAGGGGTAGTGGGGGGAAGGAGGTAGAAGCTGACAGTTGTCAACAACAAATGCAAATGTGCATGCCTGGCCCCTGAGACCTGCCTCAGCCAGCACTGGGGAGGAACTTGGTGACAGGCTTCTTCAGGAAGGGCAGAATGCGGCCCAAGAGTCTAACTGTACAGTGAACACCATTTCTGTCTTGAGAAATCAGAAACTGAGTCAAGGAAAGTAGCCTAACAGTACCTGCTTAGGAACAAATAATAATAATAATAATAATAAAACTCGTCTTGAACATCATTATCATGGCTTCACATAGGTAGCCATCTAAAATGACTTATTTAATATTAAATCTTTCACATTTGCCAGGGTTGTAGTCAGGGGGAAATTCCAATTGAAAAGCTGAATTCAAATCCTTTCACAATAAAGATGTCTACAAAATTGAAACAGAACAAAACAAAACAAAACAAAAGCACCCAGTTGATAATCCGATTAAAACAAAAAAAAACTAATAATTCTTTTACACATTGCTTTCCTTCCTCCCTAACCCTCTTTCATCCTATTCCCTTACCCCTATACACATCCAAAAACACAAAGAAATTTTTATTTTCTTTAAAAATTTAAATTTAGTTCATGACAATAATTTGTAGTGGTATAGTAGTAGCTGGCCTGTGGTTAGCAGAAACATGATTTCCTTTGGCCACATGTCAGGGGACAGATATCAGTGCCATCTACAACTGAAACGAAAACATAGTTCTTCCATATCTCTGTCTGATCTAYTTCTGAAATAGTTGTGCATCTGCTCTTTCCTCCAAGGTGATATTTAAAATTTAGAGCTTTCCTGGACATTTCTGATATTCTTGGTCTACTCTTAAGTTATAAATATAGATTCTGATATTTGCCAGGATTTTGTGAAACAACTGTTTAACTGTATTGTATTTAAAAATTTTTGAATGAGATTAAAAACTGAAAGAAAAATCATGACTGTTTTTTACACGATGAATTTGTATCCTGTTTCTCCTTGATTTTAAAAACCTTGAATAAAGAATACATTTTGTTCACAATCCCCAATGTACTTAATTATCAGTAAAGGGTAGATCAGGGTGACTGGTTATGTGTGGACTTAGTGCTGTGTGCACTGAGAGCTTATTGATGATCTAATAATAAGCTCCGTTACCTAATAATAAGTTATATGTATTCATAAACACTTCAGGGATCTTGGGATGATTCTGCTAATATTTTTCAATATTTATTTAGCAACTTATTTAGTGAAAAGAAACTGATGAAATTGTTTTACTGATTTACATCTGGTCACCTAGAGTAGGCAGTTAATTCTGTTTATCATTACTTTGACTATGGAAGTCTGAGGACAATATGTGAGATAATTTTTAGGGAAGAAGAAGTTTCTATTGTAAAAGTGTAAGATCTTGCAAACTAAAGAATAACACTTGTATTAACCAGGGCTCTCCAGAGGAATAGAACCAATAAAATGTATATATAATTAAAAGAGCGTTCTATTAGATTGGATTATGGGGTCAGGGGCTGAAGGGCTTCACAATGTCCTTCTGCAGGATGGAGAGCTCAATGCAAGAAGTTGGGAGCCTTAGAACATGAGAAACAAATGATGCAATCTGAGGCTGACGGCCTGGAAGCTCCCTGGAGACTTGCTGGTACAAATCCATGTTCAAAGGCTGAAGAGTCTGATGTCCTGGGATGATGGCAATAGAGAAAACCACACCTGCTCAAGGAGAGTCAGGAGCTTGCACACATGTAGTTTTGGTTCCATCCAGGCCCCCAGCCTATTGGACTGAGCTTCCCATATTCAGGGTAGGTCTTCCCTACTCAGTTCACTTATCCCCCTCAATTACCTCTGACAGTTCCCTCACAGACACACCCAGMAGTCTGCTTCATTTGATTTCCAGAACTCTCTCCATCTAGTTGACAATCAAATTTAACCATCTCAGCAACTTAAACTAATGGTATAGTCATAGGTTGATTAACAACAGGGATGGATTCTGAGAAATTTGTTGCTAGGCAATTTTGTCATTGTGTGAACATCCTAGAGTATTTAGAGAAAATTAGATGGTCTAGCCTGCTGCATACTGAGGCTATATGGTGCAGCTTATTACTCCTACCAACAACCTGAACAGCACGGTGTTGTACTAAACACTCTAAGCAATTGCAGCACAATAATAATTATACATACATGTATATGCATATCTAAATATAGAAAAGGTACAGTGAAAATATGATATAAAATATAAGAGATGGTATACCTGGATGGCACTTACCATGAATGGACCTCACAGGACTGAAAGTTGCTCTGGATGAGTGGTGAGTGCATGTGAAGGCTGAGAACATGACTGGATGCCCCTGTAGACTTTATAAATATCACACACTTAGGCTGCATTAAATGTATTAAAATTTTTCCTTTCTTCAATAATGAATTGAACTGAACTTACTATAACTTTTTATTTTATGCACTTTTAAATTTTTTAACTCTATTGCAATAATATTTATTAAACCCAAACACATTGTACAGATACACAAGAATACTTTTGTAAGCTTTCTAAAGAAGAAATGAAAATTCTTTAAGATTTTTCTATTTGTGGTTTTCATTTTTAAATGCTTTTGTTAAAAATTAAGACAAAAACACACACACAATAGCCTAGACTTCCTTACGTAGCATCACTTTTAACATGTGCGTAATGTGTTGTGCAGAACATTAYGACAGCTAAGACATCATTAGGCAAAACAATCTCATGGGACCATTACTGGGCATGCAGTTGGTCCATCATTGACTGAAAAGTTGTAAAGCTGCACACGACTGTACATTGTAGCAGAGCTTATTCATATAGAAAGAAGTCATTGCCTCAAAAATCATTCATCAACTATGGGTAAAGAAACTGTGGTATATATTATACACATGGAATATTACTCAGCATTAAAAGAGAATAAAATTATGGCATTTGCAGGTAAATGGATGGAGTTGGAGAATATTGTGCTAAGCAAAGCAAGCCAATCCCAAAAAACCAAAGGCTGAATGTTTTCTCTGATTAGTGGATGCTGATCTATGATGGGCGGGGGTGGGGGAGTATGGGAAGAATGGAGGAACAGCATGGATTGGGCAAAGGGGAGGGTGAGGAGGGGTTATGAAAGATGGTGGAATGAGATGGATATCCTTATCCTAGGTACATGCATGATTGCACGAATGGTGCATCTCTACACCATGTACAACCAGAGAATTGAAATGTTGTGCTCCATTTGTGTATGATGAATTGAAATGCATTCTGCTGTCATGTACAAGTAGAACAAATAAAAAATAAATGATTTTTTWAAAAAATTCATCAAATGTTTATCTGGGATCTCCATTGTGCAAGGCTCTGGGGAACAAAAGATAAACAAGACACAAGCCATGTCCTCAAGGAGCTGAGCCTAATAGAGATAAGATATGCACATATAGAACCATAGTTCAAAAGAAAGTGTGATAAGGAGCTATAAGCTTTTAGGGTGGGAGGACTGAGGGAAGCTTCATGGATGGGGGTAGCTTTTGAATAGAGCCACTGAGGAACTTAAACAGAAAAATAGGTTGCTAGGTGAGTCACAGGTGGGGCTTTTCAGGTGAGATAGAAGAAGCCAGGCAGGGAGGTGYAGGTGAGCAGGAGTCTCGGAGGATATAGTGGTTTAGGCTGGAGTGCAGAGCATGCTACTGATGCATTTGCAGGCTGTGAACACTGGACTGAAGAGTTTCTGACACTTAATAAATTAGACATCAGGAAGTCATTAAGAGCTTCTCTCAGGGACACTCCTATGAGAGTGTGTGTTGGCTAGGTTAATCCTGCAGTGGTGAAAGGGACAGATGAAGAGTGCCCGTAACCTGGCTAAAGACCAGATTGGAAGGTGATAGTCCAGGTGAGAGGTCATAAAGGCCTGGCATGGGGTGATGGCACCAGGGAGGGAAAGGAGGAAGTGGACTCTGAAATCCACAGAGATGACTCAGATGCCTTGAGTGTGAGCAGTAAGTGACACTGCAGAGAGGGCTACAGAGTGAGTCAGGAGACAGGCTCCTCTCTGGCCTCTGTGTCCACCTCACTTTGTAGTCTTGGAAAAGTGACCTCGTCTTGCTGGATTTCAGTTCTCTCATCTACAAGTGAGTGGGGTTCATAACTAGCTTAGCAGCATCTTTAGGAGAAAAATCTGAAACAGTATTTCTTTTGACGCTGAAAATCCCCAATTGTGTCATTTGATGATCCTTTTTTCCCTCTGCCTTCCACTTTTTCCTAGAACTGTCCCTGGAGGCCATACCCAAAGCAAGCAAAACCCCCATAGGATTGTGAGTCAAGTCAGTGGATACTACCCACTTTCCCCTCCTCATTCTCTTTTTTCCCATCTCTTGCTCCTCTCTCCTCTCAGAAACCAGTCATCTATGGGGTGGGTGTAAGGGTTAGGAGTGGGACACAGAGAAAGTGCTCTGTCGGAAGCTGCCACTTAGGGGCTGAGCACCCTTAGCCTTGAGCTATGGAGGTGTGAGACTGGTTTCAACTTCGTGGGGAAACAGGTGGATCTCACCTCCACCGGCAATGAACCTCTGGGAGTGGGCGTCACCCAATGAGACTGGGCTACACACTCCTGAAGCCCAATCCTTGGCCTCATTTGTCTTCCCCTCAATAAATAGGGCTTCAGGCGTGCTCCCCCTCTCTCTTTTGTCTGTCTCTCTTGCTTCCCTTGTGGGAGCTGGGGCCGAGGAGATGTGGCTGGACCCCAAGAAAAAGATATTTTCTCTGTCTCTATGTGATCATTCAGTGCCAATCCAATTCACCTGGAGTGACCCTGACTGATTTAGTCACATGTGGTGGCAGTGCTCCAAACTAGGGTGGAGCCAGAATATTTTAGTTGACTCCGAAATCCTTCAAAGTCCAGGAGA